CCCCAAAACCCCAAAACCCCATCGATGATATATTTTGGCAATAGTATCGAATTACAATTTAAATTCAAAATGTCAACCAGTAATGATTCATTAATGTTTTAGTCTCCTCCAAATTAAAAAGCAAATGATAAACCATAGGTAGCTTAGCAACTAGTAGAAGCTAGACAAATCCAATAAAGAATGAGAAATAAGATGCAGAATATGCTGAGCTCTGTAAAGTGCTGTCACAAGGACTTGAAAGAACAGCTTTTGTCTAAAAAGGAATAATTCGAGTTGCAATTAGTCAATGAGTGTACTTCTGTGGAGTAGATATACAAATAGTTTTCAACGATGAAGTTAAACATGATAAATAAAAGTAATGATACTGCATTCAGAAAGAGATATGAGTCATTGATAAGTCCATAATTCTCATCCAGCATTATATCATAATAAGAAAACATCTCAAAACATATAATAAGGCCAATTTAAAAGTCTAGAGAAGACTTTGTCAGAAATATTTAAACTCTGAATGAATAGCACCAGGTTAATTTGAAAACAACTTAGTAGGACTTGAAAATTGAAATTGAAAGAACTACTAAACTCTGCAATGCTCTTAAGATGATTTGTCAAGTTTATATAGATAAATTGGAGATTGAAAAGTAAGATGAAAGTGGATTTAAAAATTAGAAGCTATAAGATTATTTGAAGATATTAGTTGTAAGATAGAATGACAAAGGGAAATTTATAGAATTATTGTGTGAGTGTTTAAAAGATGAAAACATGTAGGTTGTTGGGTATTAAGTAGTTAAAAAGAGTAGTGATGTTAAACTTAGAAGTGAAGTTTATGAGGAATTATAGGAGTTAGTAAGAGAAGTGCTAATTGTCTTAAACTAATAAATGATAGTATGATATGAATTTAAATATGTGATTGACTTACAATAAACGTTTTTATATATAAAAAATATTTTGCTTATAACAAATTGTCAATTTAATAAAACAGATGGGGTTTTGGGGTTTTGGGGTTTTGGGG